TCCGTATTCTCTATGATGAACTTGACATTCTCGTCGGTTAGCTCAGTGATCCGCACAGTGGGCTGGTTGGCATACGGCATCTCGCACTTCCAGCCCTGGCCTCCCCGCCGCGGCTACCGGAAGTTGAACAGCGCGGCCCTCTCTGCTTCCGGCCGGGACGAGCCGCAGCGCCACCTGCCGCTCGGAGGCCGGGACCGCCCCAGGCCCGCATTTCTAACACGCCTGCTTCAAAATTCACCAGGTTCAACCTCCTCCACTCAAGATAGGGTCTCATTACGCAGTTCAGGCTGGCCTTGAACTAAGTAGCGAAGGCTGGTCTCGAATTTGCAGCGATCCTCCTGCCTCGGTCTCCCAAGTGCAGTTCAACCAAGTTCAATCATCTAGGAGAACAACGTGGCAAAACATACGTTGACACAATTTCTAAGAATTCACACTGCAGAAGCGCTTGCAAACAAAGATATATGTACAGGATCGTTTGTTGCAGACTGTTAGTAATGGCAAAGGATACAACTTGTAAGACAATGTTTTTGGATAAGAATCCTGGTTAAATATATACACATAGGAATACTATGAAGCCCTTAGAATGAAGCTGTACTTCTGCGGAAAAATGGAAACATACTTAGCAATGTGTGTATACTTTAGCAAAAGAAGCTTGAACTAAAAGTGTATAAGCTTTCCTATTCAACCTTCATGTCTGGAGGGTGTGATTCTGAAAACTGTAGGAAAAAGACACAATGCTCTTCAAAATAATGCATCTTCTACATTGTGTATTTGCAGAGGGTGGGAGCTCTTCATCTCTACCTGGCCCTCGGGTACTGCCCCCCCACCTTGGGCAGGGCCAGGGCCAGACCTCAGGTCTCCAGGCTGCTAGGCTCAAGCCTCTTCATGACACATCTGCCTTCTGCTGGGGTCTTGGATACCTATCTTGGTCTAGATAGAAACTACACAATAGGCAACTGCTTCAAACACATTTATTATTCTTTATAGATCCTAAATACACCGATAACTCTTCAATGCATTTTGGCGTAATGTGATGCTAGGCTTGGAATCACAACACTGTCCAACAGGGACCTGTCCAGATGAGGCAGCTTTCTGAGGGGATCTGCAGGAGTAGCCTCTCAAGCCAGCAGCAGAGAACTGTGTTCATGCCTGTGCTGTGCTGGGGATGAGCTGACATCCTGTGGCAGCTTCAGACCTTTCCTCTGTCTTGGGGGCCCAGAGAGCACGTCTAAAATAGCTAAGCCATGATCAGGGTGCCTGTGAGACCACGATGGGGCATGCTGAGTTTTCTGTGGCTTGGATGCATCTCGTTTTTCAATCATGTAGCTGCAGTACAGATAGGCATCAGAAGGCCAGGGCCTGCTATCAGAAACTGAAGAGGTGGACCAGTGCTAGGCCAGAACCAAATCATCAAGTGCTCTGCGGTGTCCAGGTAGCTGTGGGAGTGACTCTGGAGTCCTTCAGTGTGTGCTCATTAACATCCTACTCCATGGCTGATGCTTCATACTTCTCAAATCCTCTTAACTCTCCTCGCTGGTTTTCTTTCAAGCACTTTGGTGTATTCCCCTTCCTCTCACCGGCGCTGGTTTAGACCTGTCAGATTCTTGAGCTGACACAAGGAGGGAAAAGGAGTGGTGAGTCCTTACACTGCCTCTAGGCGTCCACTGGGAAAGACTGAGGTTTTCAAGGCAGAAAGCATAGCTATGACACACCAGAGTCCTGGAATCGGTGAATTTTCTAGGTGCCAGTAAAAAATAACAAGGTAGGCCATTCTGGACCAAGACTGACACTGGGGCTGAACCAGTGTCATTCTTACTATTAGCACTCAGTTTAAGGCTACAAGCTATGTGGGGTCAGTGATACATGTGGTAAGCTTCACAGGGCCAGAGCAGGATTGGGGGTAGGCAGGGGTAAGCTGGGCAGTACTTACTGTCACTGCTGCACCCATGAGTCCTTGCACAAGAGCCTCTCCAGTGGACTTCACCTAGAAAAGTACAGGTCAGGTTCCCTTAGGCCTCAGAACAAGCTCAAAGGTGGGAGAGGGACAAATTAGTTTCGTTTTGTTTGTTTGTTTATGGCAGCGGGTATCGAACTCAGGTCCTTACACTTTTGAGGCAGGTGGCAGAACCTCTGAGCTAAATCCCTGGGGAGAGGGACAAATTAGAAAGACTATGATCCCCAACAGATGGAGTCAAGATGGCCCTGTGTACTGGAGGAGGGGCCTATGGACAACACACAATGGGCAAGGGCACAGCTCTTAAGGGGCTGCTACGAGGAAGAACCAACCAGGCTCCCTGGAAAGGCCTTTGGGACTGGCAGCTGAGGCCCTAGGGGTCAAGAGAACACCTGTGGCCCGAGGATGGGTATGCTGACTGAAAAGGTTTCCTAATGACTGGTCCCCAGCTACCTGCTTGGCAGTGTGGCCCATGTTCATTGCATCATTAATCCGGTTTTCCAGGAAGCGCCATGTGTCCTCAAAATCTGGGGATGAGTCCTGCATCATCACCAGCTCTGTTGTGTTGTAGATGCCAGCCAGCACAGCTCGGCGGGTGTACCAATTAAACTGCAGAGAAATGCAGCCAGGAAGGTAGGTTACTACTGCTGCTGTGGGCTGGAGGAAGCCTGAGGTAGTTCCTACCCAATGCCTCAGAGATTCTCAGGCTCCCTTCTGATTTCTTCCTTCCCTCGAGATACATCCAATGCTCTGGTCTACACTAATGTTCCAAACCTGGTTGGGCATCAGAATTTCCTGCAGGATTAATGTAAGCTCCTGGGCTCAATCTCTAGCATTTACAGTGGGCCTGAATGATATCAGGATGTTGAATCAGCATTCCAAGTGATCTAGGGACATCTAACCTATTTGGAACTACTAGGGAAAAGACTGTCTTAGGACATCTGAGTTGCAGATAGGTGTTACAATTAGCCAGTTACCACCAAACCTTCATGTGCTTATAAATAGGGTGGGGGCTGAGGCAAGATCAGGGACAGTTTGCAACTCCTGGGCAGAGCTGAGAGTTCAAGTTCCTCTGTGACTTCTGCCAGTCCTACAAATGACTCTTCAGGGAACCAGCTCAGCTGCTCGGTGTTTTATTCCTTTAATTTCTTTTACTTTCTAATTTTGTTTTCCTATCATCTCTGTGGGTGGTATATTCCCACATGGAAGAAGCTTATTACAGCACTTTGTTATGAGTGGATCTCACAAAGTACCATCACATTTTAATTTCTTTTATGAAGGTGTACTTTGTTCTTTTAATTTCCCACCAGAAACATGGTAGCATTAACAAGTCAGATACTTCCCGGTGCCTATTTAGAAAAGCTTAGTGATCATTTAGCAAAGCAGGACAATATTGGAAGGGGGGGGGCGGTAGTTTCTTTTGGCATTCTTTTTTTTCAAAATCAGTCTCAGTAAAGACAAACACTGAGGAATTCTGCTGTAGAATCGAAATCTGAGGATAGTGAAGCAGAAACGGCTATAAAAAAGCAGCCCAATCCCAAGGGACTCTGAGGCATCATGCTACCACCATAGGTGGGAAGGAAAAATCACTAGTTTGTGGCTAAAATGCTGGTCTCTGAATGAAGAAAACGTAGATTCACTTTGGCTAACTGAGGGACCTTCCTCAGACCGTAGATGGACGACACTATGCACATGTGGTCACACACACAGGACAACTTGTGATCAAAGAAATTTCACAAAATTTTTGAAGAAATCCTTAACTCAAGCCTTTCCTGATAACAGTGGGTCTGCAGAAAACACTTACGTCTGTGGACTGGTCCCCAGCATAATGCCACATGTCATCCACCATGCTGGTAAGCAGGCTTAGGCTGGGCGGGATGTTGTGAGGGAGCAAGAGGATGCTGAGGGCCTGCGAAGAGAGTAACAGGAAGAGATTCCGCACACAGGTAACAAGAGCACATAGGTGGTTCTAGAGTCCCAGGGAGACAGTCAGCTCTGGTTCTCTCACACCCACAATCCCAACCCCCACGATGTGAGTTCCCAGCAGCTAATGACCCTGACTGCAGCTAATGGGAGCCAGGTCATACTTTTGTCCTAAGCTGGCCCAATCAGATTCTCCATCCCTAACATTTGAAATTGGGACTGCCAACAGCCAAAGGGTCCAGACTAGTCTAGAGTCCTGAAAGCAAGCATGGGGAGGGCACCCCACTGTCAGAGTTAGAAATGGAGAACAGGAGGGGGCAAAAGTGATGGGAGTGTGAGATGGCTTCATGACCACACACAAGGCCATGCCCAGAGCCCAGCAACAATCCTGGCTGCAGCTCACCGCCACAGTATCACAATAAATTCCTTCTTATTCTTTTGCTTAATTCACATTGATTTCTATTTCCTGAAAGCAAAAATTCTTCAATACTAGCAATGACACAAACCAGATCACTCTATTAGCACATACAGCTCCCCTCAGCCCGGTAAGCCCAGGTTGTATGACTTTACAAATGCTAAAACCTAAACCTAAGGGCTGTGACCTGGGGAGCTGGATTGGCTGGAAGATCTCTCTTACTGAAACAGCCCAGAAAGAAACTGTGAAATGGTAAGGCAGTGAGGGCCTAGTGTGTACACTTGCAGAACTTCAACTGCAGGAGGCAGGACTGACTCACGTCGTTTTCCCCTCACACCCAGGTGGGATCAGGTGCACTACAGGTGTTTGAGTATCTGTCAACAAGAAGCCTGAAATTACATGCTCAATGGAGTCTTCCAGCTGGACTGAGGACACTGAATGCTTGAGTCCTTCTCATTTCTGAAGTGCTTTGACTCTGTAACTCAAAGAATGGCCCACACTGTGACATATTTTGAAACAGGAAAAGAAAGCCTCAGAAAAGCTAGGAAAAAAACACACCCACGGAATAAATACTCCTTTACCCAAGCATCACAGTGACAATTTGACAAGAAGTCCTAGTCCTCGAGATCTGAAACAGGACAGGCTATTATTATTATTATTATTATTATTGTTAGTTGGGGGGAGGGGAGGGAGCAGGGGCTCACTATGTAATTCAAGCTGCCTTGAACTCATAGAGATCCTATGCCTCAGCCTCCCAGGGGCTGGGATTACAGGTGTGTGCCACCATACCCAGCTAGGTCAGGGCTATTAGTGAAGTAAGATAGGCAATAATATACTCTGCCTTTTTTAACCTCTTTCAGGTATTCTTCCTTGTGGAAGATTTAGTGGCACACTCAGGACACTGGAGCTCATCTGAGATGTCACTCACATATCCAGGAACTGAGACACTGATGGCTTAAAGTTGCTCTCTTTGTATTCCCGAGCATGAAACCTAGCTCTACAAACCTTACTGTGCATTCCTGGGTTTATGGAGAAGATTAATGAGCTAACTTCTCAACAGTGTACAGAATCCTCTGAGTGAAAGGTGTTGAGAATGAGAGATATTAATATTATTAGTGCTTTGGGGCCTGGATATGGACTCTGTACCCGGGGCCAGTGCTCAATGTATGGAATCAGCATTCTCAGTCTGGTTTCCACTGCATCCCTCAGGAACTGGTCTGTCTTCCTCTTCCTGGAAGAGGGGAAAAGAAAACAGTGTGTCTCTGGGTCACAGGCAGGGGCTCAGTGCTGCACTGCTGACTCAACCCTGAGGAGGTAGGTCCCACTAGCTTCTGACACTGATTGCCACGTGGGCTCCTGGGTTTCAGTCCCTGCCAAGCAGCAGGGTTGTCAGTATCACTCGCTTTTGGCTCTGCTTGGGTTTGTTTTATGGGGTCAGCTGATGCGATCAGAGTCCCCCATCCTCAGCTGCCACCCTGAGCAGTAACACCGCAAGACTTACTCTGCCTGGCCCAGCTGCACCAGCTTCTGCTCCTCTTCTAGAATGCGGGTAAGCCGAGCGTTGCACTGGGTCACAAAGTGCAGTATCAGCTCACTGCCGTCATTCCCAAACATGCTGGCTGCTGCACTGGAGAGACCCAGAGACTACAGGAGGAGAAAAAGAACAGAAAAGTAGTGGGCAGGGGTTGTGGACATTTGTTGTCTGGTCATCAACAGTGCTTCCTCCAGTAGCAGAGGTGGGACTTTCAGCCAGACCCCTACTTTTCATTCTAGCCTATGGGATTCTGATGAAGCTGACCACCGCCAGTCCATCCCATACCCACCAAGCCCCTGGTGTGTATGCAAAGCATGGGCCCCAGGCTAGCAAGACCAGAGCTGAAAGACTAGCTCTGGAACGGGCACATGACCAAGTGCAGGTCTTAAGAGTGCACCTTGGTTCTCTTGCTAGTGCTGAAGGGAAAGTCCCCTTTTCACTGGGCTGCTGTGCTGTTTTTAGTCCTGCATGGGAAGTGCACACTGAGAGGGAAGTTTGGGGATGAAAGCAAAACCGAAGTGGTAGAGGCAGTTCCTGGGAGCAAAGTCTAGGAATGCTGAGCCAGAGCTAGTTTCAGACTTTTCTGTCATTACGTGAACCAAAATATCCCCTTTCTACCATGGGTCAGTAAGAGCTGAGCTCTGAGCCCAGAAACCTGGAGCCCCAATACTCCCTGCCTGACCCTCTCACTTCACGTGGATTTCTTGGAAATGGATCTGTATTTAAAATAAGATTTTCCTAATGAATTGCCAAGGAGCTAAAAGAGCACAGAAACTTTTTATTAGTCCTGATCCACAGCAATCACTGAGAGTCTACTAGATGCAGAACTGACAGCAGCAGGGACAGGTGGCAAGAAAGGAGCACAACTATATTAAATGTGAATTTCTACTGCTGACAGGAGAAACTGCCCCTCTTTTGGAAGAGTGCGTAGCTTTTTGTTGTTGTTGTTGTTTTTGGTACCGGGGATCGAACTCAGGTCCTTGTGCTTGCGAGGCAGGCGGCAGAACCACTGAGCTAATTCCCTGGCCTCTACTGTAGCTTTTATAGAGGACAAGTTGACAGCACGACAGAGCTGCAGGAATCAACACTAATGGCAAGTACATACTAACTGCATGCAGGCACTCTGCTAGCACCTGCATTTTCATAGCAGCTGTGAGGGGTGGGTGTTGTTATCACCACCTTATAGATGAGGAATCTGGGGGTTCAAGCTCTTATCCCTAAGGTTAGAGATGCCCTCTAATAATGTGTAAAAAGAACCACAAGAATATACCTACTCCTGGGCCAGTTAGGAAGCCACTATCTCTCAGTTCCAAACCTGTCCTTCTAGGTTCAGTCTGTGATGCAGGGTCTGGGACTCTGCAAGCCACATTTTGGGTTCCCAAACAGGCTCTGCCATAGGGGTCCCTAGAGACGGGCTGAGGAGGAGGAAGGGACTGGCGCTTTCCTGTTGCCTGCAAAAGCTCCTGGGAACAGCATCCCGGTGATGCTTCTTCACTTGGCAGCTGCAGCTCCCTCCAGAAGCAGAGGCTCAACCTGGTTTGCAGTTTTCTCAACACCTGCAGAACTGACTTCACCTCCCACCATCCTCTCCTCACCCTCCCAGCTCTCCCTCCCAGGTTGGGTGGCAGCCCCAAAAGACCCTCCCTGCAGTACAGAGACTGCAGCGCCAGCTGAGCACTGGCTCCTCCTCAGGGGCCTGAGATTCCCCTTCTTAGGATTCTCCTTCTACCACCCAGTTTGAATACAGTAAGTCCCCAACTGAGGAACATTCAGGTTTCATAGATGTACTTGTATAAGACTCACTGTCAGCTTATGAATGAATCCGAATCTGACTTATGAATAATTCTCCTGAATGGAACTTGTTTGAGTTAGGGGCTGACTTTATTCCTTCTCTTCCTCTTGTTCCTTCAGCCCTGCCTGCAGTTGCTACCTCTACAATACCTTATTCTTTTCATCCTTTCTGTTACCTGCTTATCAACTTTATACCTAGTTAGCAACTCCTTATATTAAATTCTATTCCCAAAACTGGTGCAGTTGTTGTCTCCTGACTGAACCCTTAGCAGTACAGTCCCTGAAAGAGCAACCTCCCTTCTTGAAACCTGTCCTAAAGAAATGAATAAAAAGGGCTGGGGATGTAACTAAGTGGCACCATGCCCATCTGGCAAGCACAAGGTCCCCAGTACATAAAAAAAAAGACATGAATAAAAAATGTACTAAAGTATGTTGTACACACAGGTTACAATAACCCCCGCAAAAGGAAACATTCAAACATTTACGAACTGAGGCTTAGTAAAACCTCATCACTTTCTGTAATGATTCTTTAGAACCTTCTTCCTCAGCCTCAAGCCTCTCCTTCCTTCCCCAGCTTCAGGTTCACAAGGTAACTATACCTACTTCAGAGAGAAACCAGAAGCCATTCCCTGAGAACACCCTTAACCTGCAGCTGTCCTCTGCAACTCTGCACCTAACCATCTTGGTCAGTCCTTTCACTTGTTTCCTTGATCTCATAATTCTTGCCACCGGAGAACCACATGGCTTTGATTTTGCCTATTTTTCTCCCGCATCTTCACTCGCATTTATCAGAACCACACTCTGCCCTCCATCCCACTTCCCCTGTGGGGCACACCCTCAACAGCCAAATGCTTCCACACACCCCCACCTTCGGCTCGTGCCTGCACACCCTCCAACTAATTTCTGATCCTAGATTCCACCCCGCAATCTGCAGCTACAGTAAACAGTGTCAAGTCGTTCAATCCACCTTCTCCTGCTCTGCTTCCAATACTAGGATGTTCTAACTCAGACTTACTTCATGATTCATCGTTTTACCCTACCTTTAAAGGTTAGAGTTCCCTGAGGGTCTGTACTTCCCTCTCTTAAACACACTATAGTCTTGCTTTGGGCATCTGATTCACTTCCAGAGTTTAATTGTAACACGGTGCAATGCCCAAAGGTCTACCTCTAGTCCAGCTCTCTCCTCCAATTCCAGACCTGTATGGCTGATACCTCTACTTGGTTGACTCAAAAGACTCATAATCAACAAGGACCAAGACTGTACTGATCATCTGTCCCCTGGCCCTCTTCTACTGGGCCTACTCTTGGAAAACAACACCACCACAAGCCCACACATGTAAACTGACAACTCTGGTGCCATCTTATCACTCCCTCCCATGGCCAGTGTTCCACCAAACTCACCCCTGTGTCTACTACACTGCTATCACTCTGAGCCAGACAACCTCATCTCTCCTGGATGACTGCAGCAGCCCCGGAAGATTCTCTCTGCCTCCATCCATTCTCACTCACTCAGCAATGCTGTGAAATGAGAACTCAATACTGTATCTTCAATTAGTCTTAGAACTAAAGCCTACATCCTGACCTTTTGTCCTCTGCCAGATTTGGTCTCCATGGATCTTTTCTCCAGTCTTATTCAAGTCTTTCTTCCTTCACTCTGTCTGACGGTTTCCTACGGTTCTCCTAACACAATGTGCTTCTCTATTTGGATTGGTCCATCCCTGGGTCCCTGCCTGAGCCAGATAAAGACAACTCACTCCTCTGTTCTCAGCCTTTCCTGATCAGGTTGCTCTATTGCATGTCCTGATAGCACCTTTTCTTGTTAGCACATGCCACATTTTAGAAGTACATACAGTGCATGTCTGATTTATGTTGCTGGTCTTGGAAGCACCTTAAGGGCAGGAATTTTGTCTGCTGTGACCACTGTTATGTCCTTAGTACCTAGCACAAGTGCCCAGTGCATAGTATTTGCTCAATAAATATTCAAAGAATAATTTTTAATTGAAATAATGAACATTGAAATGTTGACAGTAGGATCTCTGGTGCAATCACAGGTGATTTATTTTTACATTCCTTTCTATATCTCTTTGTACTATTCCAGTTATCATATAGTAGAGTCAATATTTACATTCTGCTGGTATGACTTTGGTTACCATCTGTGCTCTTTGGAGTAAGACAAAGAAATAAGAGTTGCGGTTAAGAAAGCAGCAAATCTGCCTATTGTCCAACATGTCCTACCCTCAGTGTTCTCAGAAGGCATCTGGATGACTCTGTACATGTGGCCTAAACATGAGACCATTGCTTCATCTACATAGCAGTCTGTTACAATGCAGGAGCAAAAGCTGTCAGAATTACTGAGAGATTTGGTATGTTGGTCTTTTCAAACATTACATCTCATTAATTCTATGATTTACTTTTTTTTTGTTTTGTTTTGAGACAGGGTCTGCCTAGGTAGTTCAGGCTGACCTTGAACTCACTATGCAGCCCATGCTGGCCTGAAACACAATGATCCACATGCCCCAGCCTCCCAAGTGCTGAGTTTACAGGCATGCGCCAACACGCCTGGCTAAAATATGGTAATTTTGATCACAGCAATTTCTTGCCTAACAGGCTGTCTTAGAACAGTTCCTGCCAGGGATGGTGGTGCATACTTGTAATCCCAGCTCTTGGGAGGCTGAGGCAGGAGGATTGCCTTAAGTTTGAGGCCAGCCTGGGCTACACAGTGAGTTCAAGGCCAGCCTGGAATACGTAGCAAGACTCTGTCTCAGAAAAAAAAGAAAAAGAACATAATTCCCAAGAACCAAGTACTCTTATAATTAAAAACTAATCCCATTTCCATGCTATGGCCACCAAAATAAACTAAACAACCAAACAAAACCAGACAATCCTATGGTTGGGAGCACTCCAAGCAGGCTAGAAGAAGGCAGGAGGCATTCTGTTGCACAGTCCTACTTCTTGCTGACATGGGTCAGGCTGCCCCACCCTAACCCATACACACCTCGGCTCCCTGGGCAATTGCCTCTGTTGTCCAGCCATGGGCAGGCACAAACTCCAGGGCTGCTGTCAGGATGCGGTGCTGTAGCTGCTCCTCACTCTCATAGTCCTCCTCCTCCTCGCCACTCTGGTCTGTGTACCTAGGACACAGAGACAGGGGTCCCCACGCTTCATCTCACTGTCTACTGCCTGGTGGACAAAATGGGTGAGACCCGAGGCTCCAGGTCTCTAAGCACATGAGGAAAGGACATTAACTTCTGTGTCAGTCTGGATGTCTTCACGCCAATGGAGTGAAAATCCTGGCATCCTTGTCCTCCCACCTGATCACTGGGAGAAGGGACCCAGTAATCCGATCCATATTGTCACATGAAGCCAATGCTCTGCCCTATGGCCCTGGGTTTCCTCATTTATAGCCAAGGACTTCTTTATCTGTAATCTACACCAGATTGTAACTCTACCTTCTCCTCATGAGGGGGGATGATGGTATTATTCACAGGGCCGGGCACACAGAAGATCCTCAAAAGATATTTGTTAAATTTAAATGAAAACTATTTTAACTAGGAAACCAGATAAAGAGGATGAATAAGCTCATTTGACATTGAAGAACATTTCATTTCCAGTGGCAGGATTAAGAAAAAACCAAATCTAACAGAAATGTAAATTATTAACTTTTGGGAAGGCAATCTGGCCCCACATATGTAACAAGACATTAAATGTGCTTATCTTTCACCTGCCCCTCTTTCCCTCCTCCCCCTTTCTTCTTGCTAGGAATCAAACCCAGGGCCTTGTATGCTAGGCAAGCGTTCTATCACCAAGCTGTGCTCCCAGCTCAAATATGCTATCTTTTGATTCAGTGCTCCCACTTATTCTTTTTTTTTTTCCTCTTTTAAGTTTTTTAAGACAGGGACTCGTATGTAGTCCAGGCTGGTCTTGAACTCACTGTGTAGGCCAAGCTGGCATCAAACTCGTGGTTGTCCTCCTGCCTCAGTCTCCTAAATGCTGGGTTTATAGGCATGTGCCACCAAGCCTGGAAGTGCTCCCACTTCTAAAGAGCATCCATCACGCATTTTATTATTCTGTCCTTCACAATCATGAAGGAAATACAAATTTTCATCAGTAATACAGGTTAAATAAATTTTGGCCCACCTATTGCTGCAATGTTGTATAACCATTAAAATAATGTAAATTATGAAAAGACATTAAAATAATTACTGATGAGTAAAACAACAGTAGATTTAATCATTTATTATATATACACTTATATGTGAAATATAATTAGAGAAGCATTTAAGAGGGTTATCTCTGCAGGATTTTAAGTAATTTTTGTTTTATTTTTGTGAACTTCTCAGTATTGTTTAGATGTATAAAAATATTTAGGAAGCATTTTTATGAAAACAGTAGGCTTTTTTCAAGGATAGCCTTGGAAATGATGGAACTGGAGTAAGGCAATGGAAAAGAAAGAGGAAGTGGAGGAGACAGTTATCCAAGCAGGCAAATTGGCCCTGAATGGATGGACTGGGACCCTGTGCTTACCTGGGGGGTGGGCGAGAAGATTCTGCATTGGGTTTTTCTGTCCCCTGTGTCTCAGAATGCTGCTCAGAAACAGAAGGGGAAGGTTGTGGCTTCTGCTCCTCTGAAGACCTTAGTTGCACAGCTGAAGCGTGGAAGGCACGCAGTACCAGGGGCGGTCGGCAGCGGGACACTGAAACAGAAACTGGGCTGATCAGCCAGAAAATCCACCAAAGATGAGGTCCAGAGTGGAAACAAAACTCAGGAAAAAACGCAGGACAGAGGTTCCCCAGAACCACTAACCCTTATTCCACACAAAAGCCTTGGGCAAACTGGAACCTGCAGGCAATGATGTGATGAAGCAAGAAACAAATACCTATCTGGCTTCTCAGCCTGTTTCTATCACTGGTCAGCTGGGTGGTAATCCACCTCAACACCTTTTTTTTTTTTTTTTTTTTTTTGTTTTTTTTTTTTGGTAATGGGGATCGAACCCGGGACCTTGTACTTGCGAGGCAGGCAGTGGATCCACTGAAGTAAATCCCTGGCCTCATCCTATTCCTTTTAACTATGAAGACTGTAAGGACTTACTGTCAGATATGGGTACCTTTCTCTCTTTGTTCCTTTCCTTGGTGTCTTTTTTTTCATCCAAATAAATGGTATCATCAATTTCTTACCTAAGAGAGTCACATACGCAACTCTTATTATTTTTTATTTTTGAGACAGGGTCTTGCTAAATTGCCCAGACTGGACTGGAATTAGTGATCTACCTGCCTCAGGCTCCCAAGTAGCTGGGATTATAGGGGTAATAATCTGTTTGCTCAATGATAATGTAAAACCCAAAGAAAAAGTGAAGTGGCTGGACATGGTGCAAACCTGTGATCCCAGCACTCTGTGAGGTTGAGGCAGGAGTAGCCACATTTGAATTCAGCCTTGGCAACTTAGCAAGACCTTGTCTCAAAATGAAAATTTTAAAAAGTAAAAGGCCTGGGGATGTAGCTTAGTTTGAAGGCCCTGGGTTCAATCTCCAGCACTGGGGCGGGGGTAGAAAAAAAAAAAGGAAAAATGACTTGAAAAGTTACATACTATGGCAAGAGCACTGGAGTAGGAATTAGAAGGCCTCCATATGGACTCCCCTAGTTATTACATGGTATCTCCAGACAAGTCACTTATCTCTACCTGCTTTCTTACCTGCACTTACACACACTTTCCTAACTTACATTAGGAAAGATCAGGAATGTTTCCTAAGCGTAAACTCACACTATTTCTTCTTTCCCAACATTATATCACAAAAATTTTCAAACTTACAAGCTGAAGGAGTCATGAACACTTGTATACCCACACTAGCTTCTGAACATCTATTATGCATTCATTACTTTGGTTTGATATCTGATGTATTTACTGCAGCTCTCAATATTATTTATTTCTAAACATTTAGTATATATATATCCTTAACCAGAGTTCAGCAAACATCCCTAAAACTTTGAAAAGGAAGGGTGAGGTCCCAAAGTATGCCTTTGGAACCACTATTAATTAAAAAATTTCAAGGGAAATTGATACACGGTGGCACAAGCCTGTAATCCCAGCTACTCACAAGGCAGAAGCAGAGGCAGGAGGATTCCCAGGTTCAAGCCCCAGGCTGGGCAACTTAGTAAGATTCTGGATCTCAAAATAAAAAAATGAAAAAGGGCTGGTGACGTAGCTCGGTGCAAAAGCCCTGGGTTCAGTCCCCACTACCAGCAAAAAACTGTTTTCAAGTGAAATACGAGAGACTATTTCACTAGGTACATATTTATGTCAGTATGTCAATGTATCGTACATTCCGTTGGTGGAAGGTGCTATTGGCTTCCTATTTATGATAGTGAAACAAAGTTTTCTTTTTAAGTGAATGTCTATTTTTAGACATGCAAACAAAAAATGCTGTTTATGGTAGCAAAGGTGGCAAAAGAATGTCACAGAATTAGTGAAATAGTAGGGAACATGACTGTCTTCGGATAATGGATTGGACACTATGACCTTTTCCAAACGTCATTGGTGTGATCCTGGCCCAGGAACCAATAACAACAGACTTCAGAATGGGTCTGCATAGTCAGTTCTGCAACCTACAGGCTGTGTCACCTGGGGCACTCCGAGCCCTCTCTGAAGCTATTAACTCTTAATCCCGGAGTGAAAGGCTCTGCCCCGCAGTTCTAGCGCCTCACAGCTGGAGACTGAAGGCGCAAACAGACCCGGCTTATTCCAGGCGGCTACGCCCTTCACTTCACCTTCCTCCAGGCCGCTACAATAAGCTTCTTCCTCCCCGCACCCAGCCTTGCACGGTCTCGCCCCACTTTCCCCTTTCTTCCCCCCACTCTGGCTCGGTGGCCCTCTCACCAGGTAAGCAACGCAGCTGCAGAAGCCTCCAGCCCGCCCGGCCCAGGACGCCAGTCACTGCCGCTGCCGCCGCCATCTTGGAAGCGGGCACCCACGCCGACGACGGCGACCGACGCGACGTGTAGGACACCGCGCGACTGGTTCCCTCTGCTTCCGCGGGGCCTCCTCATCTCGCGAGAGGCGTGAGACGCGGAGAGTGGTTCCAAGGCCGGGAGCCGGCCGGATCACTGGTGAGTACCCTCGGGGAGACTTGAGAGTCCCCAGTCCTTCCCAACGGTCTCCTCTCGGCCCACTGTTGTCCCGCATTCCCCCATTTTCTCTTCCCAGCCCTGACGTAACCTTGGCCGTCCGGCGGAGAACCCTGCGGACTTGTGCTGGGGAAGCCGGTGTGAGGGACCGCGCCTGCCCTGCTCGCCCTGGGCTGAAGCGGTGGCTCCTGGCTTTCCTAAGCTACCTCGGGCACTGCGCGGGAAAAGCCCTGAGCTGAGGTCCGGAGAACGCAGGTCTGGGACTCGGTGCTACCCGGAGCCAGCTGTTGTGACCTTGGGTCTCGGTTCCTCGGAAGTTTCGGTCTCTGAGCGGCCGGGGCCGCTCGCTGCAGAACGTTGGGTATGTCTGAACCCTCGGATTGTAAATTTGAACTTAGAATTTGTGTGAACCTTCGTGGTATTATTTTCCAAATTTGCACCATCGGGCGAATCTAGGATGCTTATTGATAAAATGAACACTAGATATTTGTCTTGGAGGGTTGATTCAGTGCCTAGGCGTGGTCTAGGAATCGTGCTTTAGCTGACCATTGTTCCGGGTGATTTTTAGGATCTGCGAAGTTTGGGAGAGAAGAGGTAGGTTTCGTTGTTTCTGGCATTTCTGAGTGACCTGGGTGGCTTGTGAAGGTCTGGGTGTTGTAGCTAAACAAACATGTAAATACAGAGTAGCAACTCCTTAGGTTACCGCCAGGGAAGGCTTAATAGCAGAAAGAAGTAAATGGTTTTTGGATTGAGGATAACTGACCACAGGAGCATGTGATTCTGAAAATGTGTTTGAAGTTAGACCCATCTTTTTATCTGTTAAAGTTATTGTGTATATTTTTTTCCCCCAGAGACAACCTGGTCTTCCTCTGCTGGGCATGGAGGAAGACCTCCTGAGCCAAAAATTTCTCCAAATTTCAGATTTATTTATTTATTTGATGCAGCACTGAGAATTGAACCTAGGGCCATTGAACTGAGCTACATCCTCAACCTTCCCCCGCCTTTACTTGAGAAGGGTTGTAGGCTGTGCTCAAACCTGTGATCTTCCTGCCTCAGCAGGCTGGTCTCAAACTCATAGGTTCTGATTTTCTTTGCTTCAGCCTCTGACTAGCTGAGACTTTAAGTATGCGCCACTGTGCCTGTCTAGGCTTTATTTTCTGAGTTCTGCCTACCCATCTTTGAGTAGGTTCTTTACTGAGGAAACTAATGTTTGGCACCAGGGATGGAATCCAGGGCTATGCAGGACATACTACAATGAACTACACTCTAGCCCCAAATCTGTCACATAAATATAAATATAAATATAAATGGCTTTTGTTTTGTTTTGAGATGAGGTTTTTGCTGTATTGGCCTTAAGCTCACTGTAGCCCAGTCTGGCCTGGAATTCCTGGTGATCCACCTGCCCAACCTAACACCTGCCAGCCTTTGAAAAGAAAAAAATGTTTCACTGTGTACACGTGAACTCCAATTTGTTAATTTTAATTAAAATTTCACTTTCTGATAACTAGCAGTATTTAGATAATTTTTTTATGTACCTAATTTAAAAGAATTTGATCCTTAAACTAAAGCCTAAACTTGTCTTATATTTTAATTTTGGTTGTGTGTGTGTGGGGGTGTGTATACGTGTGTTTGTGTGTGGCGCTGTAGATTGAACTCAGGGCCTTGCACGTTGTAGGCAAGTATTCTACCACTGAACTACACTCCCAGCCCTTGATCACCCCCTCCCTTCCAAGGAGGAAGCAGGAAGATTTGAGATTTCTTGGGTACCTTAAAAATAAAGAAGTGCAAGCCGGGTGTGGTGGCTCACGCCTGTAATCCCAGCACTAGGGAGGCTGAGGCAGGAGGATTGCTGTGAGTTCGAGACCAGCCTGAGCCACATAGTGAGTTCCAGGTCAGTCTCAACTACATAGTGAGACCCTGTCTCAAAAAAACCAAAAAAAAATTTAATTAGGCAAATGTAGTAGTTATAGCTGCACTTTCTCAAGAATCTTCAGGAGTGGTCTATGCATCATGGAGAAAGAGTCCAATCATTTTAAGTTACCCTTTTTTATTTTTTTGGTACCCAGGATTGAACTCAGGACCTTGCGCTTGCATGGCAGGTGCCTCCACTGAGCTAAATCCCTGGATTCTGAAAAAAAAAAAAAGTGCATATGTGTGGAATTCACAGACATCTGCTTTTACTCTCTGCCTGTAACATTTTATGAAAGCAATGGGTAAGTGTATGCAGTAGTCTGTTGGAGAGGTATCTGACAAACAAGGTCAGTGACGTGATGAGATCTTCTACTCCACTTCTTTTTAGTTATGAATCTTGGCCCCAAGTCACACCTCCTAAGTATGTTGGGCTTAGGTGCTGGATAGTTTTTTCCTTTTTAACAGATTCACAGTAAGAAAAAAGCAAAAAACAAAAAACTCTGATGATGAAATGTATTACACTTAGACTTTAAAAAATTTAAAAGGATTTTGTCTCTAATTTTATTTAGAAAACACTGACCAACAACAGTAGGGACTGTGCCTATATGGGGGGAGTTGATATTTAATAAATGTAGTTTATGAGTTCCCTCTAGCTGTGATATAGATGGGGAGATATGAAAGTAAGACATTTTATTCACGTCTTCTAATTTACTGACACAGTGTTTTAGAGTGTAGCCATGACACTGCAGTTCTAAGGATGAAAAGGAAGCTTCATGTAGCTCCCTGGGGAGTCCTCCTAGTAAGCATAGCTGAGGGGGAAGAAAAAAGTTTTATAGGACTTTTTGCAGGAAAGTCAGAAACACTGGCAATGGAGAAGTAGAAGCCCAGCATTCTCTCAGAACATTGTTTCACTGAACTCTGTACCAGATCCTGCTGACTGTGTTACGCATTATCTTTTCATTATTTCTTATAGCTGCCTTGCAAATATGAGGTTACTGTCCCTATTTGTTGGTAGGAAAATAGACTCAGAAAAGACAATAACTTATGGTCATATACCTAATAACAAGACCTATTGATAAATAGAAATTAAGGTCATTTACTCCTTATAATTTACTGCTCAACAGTCTATATTCGTTTTTCTGGCTGTTTTTTGTTGTTTGTTTGTTTGTTTGGTACTGGGGATTGAACTCGGGACCTTGTGCTTACCAGGCAGGTGGAGGAACCACTGAGCTAAATCCCTGGCCCCTCTGGCTGATTTTTTTAAAAAATCTTACTGAGTTTATTGGTGCTTTTTACTATACATACAGTTACATTCATCTTTGGGATCTTGTACTGGCTGTTTTATAAATGTGAGATTGATCCCAAGTTGCTCATAAAGATTTTGCAAGGGTTCTTCTTCAACATCATGTGGTAATTAAAAGTTTAAAAGTTTCAGTTTTCAGTGTCTGCTGTTTCAGGGATTTAAAATCCAAAATTAAATGACTAATAAATCCCGCCTGCCTGCCTGTCTGTCTACCAGCATCCTTTTACTGGGGATTGTAGTCAGATCAGGGGTACTAAAGGGTGTTTACATAAAGTCAGGTAAAATGCACAATATAGTGAAAATAGAAAGTTTTTTTTAATAGAATAAGGATTCGTGTGAATGGTGGGCCAGATTATGAAAGCCTTGAGTCCAGCAGGCTAAGGTACATGGGGGGCGGGGGCGTTGAAGCCAAGGCATTCCACTGAGCTACATTCCTAGCCTTTTTTATTTTGAGACAAGGTCTTGCTAAGTTGCCCACGCTGGATTCAAACTTGTGATCCCCTGCCTCAGCCTCCCAGACTGCTGGCATTACAGACATGTACCATGATGCCTGGCTCAGACTAAGGAGTTTTGGTTTTCCTCTAGAAATGGCTGGGGGTGTTGCTCAGCAGTGGAACTCTTGCCTAATGTGTGCAAGGACCTGAATCCAAACCCCAGCACTGTCAAAAAAGAAAGATGACTCTGATTGATGGGCCTGGCTTGTAGACAGAGGACACAGTCATTTGTTTTTCCTGCTTTTTGTTTAAAATTTTTGCTTTGTTTTGAAACAGGGTCTTACTTTGTACTTGTTTGGGCTAGCCTTGAACTCACTATGTAATCCAGGCTGGCCTCGAACTCAGTGATCCTCCTCCCTTAGCTTCCTATTGCTGGGATTACAGACATGTGCCACCATGCTCAGCCAGTGATTTAAAGGAAATATTTTTAAAGAAGGAAGAATGTAGTATACACAGCTTAAATTCAGGCCCAGAGTGGCTGTGGTGACATAATTGTCACTGTTAGCCAATTCTGCTGAAGCCAGAAGTGTTCAGGATAAGATTAATCCATGCTTAGCCCTTGTGCTACTGTTTCTGTGTTTGTTTCATCTATTTCCCCTACTTTAAGTCAGAAACTTGGTGGCATTAATGTTTAAGAAAGGAGAAGCTAAACAACTTGCTATCTCTTGACCTAATTTCATTGTAAGTGCTTTACATACTCACCTGTGAATCAAGTAGAAGAAAAGATTGACCCATGGGGGAAGGGAGTAGCTGGAGATTTCTGTATTTAAACATGGGCTTCATGATCAGATAGATTGGGATTTGAATCTTAGCCCTTACTTTATCCTTACAACTCTCCTGATTGTGTGACTTGTGCAGTGTCAGTTCCCTTAAACTGCCTATGTAGCCCAGGGTGGCTTCTGATTCATGGCAATCTACCCAAGTGCTGGGATTACAGATGTGTGCCACGCCTGACTGAATTTTTATATTTTTTATGAAAGAGAAAATAGTATTCAGTTTGCAAAATATAAATGTGCTATCTCTTTTTTTAAAAAAATTAAGGTGTGGTTAGGTTATGTCTGCCAATTTATTTCCTTCCTTGCTGAGTCATGCTTCTGCCTAATTAATGCCCTGTGTGTTTAAGCTGAGTTACTTCAAAGAATACATAATCTTTCTGTTTCTAATGTCCTCCTCTCTAAACCCCACCTCCTCACTCCACTTGAATTTTTTGAATTTTTTGCTGTTCTGGGGATCAGTCCCAGGGTTAGGCAAGTGCTGTACCACTGAGCTTTATCCTTAGCTCACCTACTCCCTTTTCTTGACTCTCTGTGTCAGGATTCTAGCCACATGCCTTGTTGGGGAACATTGAGATTATGAAGCCTTGAGGTAATAGGTTCATTTATTTAGATGGTATCATCTACGGTAAGATCTCAGATGCATTCACCGGTGGAAGGTTGGAAGTAGGTTGTGATTCTAATCATATTTGATGATACCCCCAGATTAAATTGCACTGTTATCTCTGCTCAGTTGTGATTCTCTTTTGACCAGGAGCTTTTAGGCTCGTCAACACCACAGGAATGGCAGCATTTGGGGTTTCAGCTGGCCAGCTGGTGGCAGTCATCTGGGATAAGCCAGCCCCTGTGGAGACCCTGAAAGATCTAGTGGATGAACTGCAAGGGTTAACTGGCAGTGAGGACCAAGTATCTGTGGAAAACATCCATCAGCTGCTACAGTGTAAGTATCTACCCACTCTACCTACATAGTGTTGGAGGGGCTTTAATGAAAGCTTGTGGGTCTGTATTCCTTGGTGTCTGAGTTTTTGTTCTAGGTGTCACAGTAAAGCGGCTGTCACTGTTATTTTTCAGTGGAGATATAGCAGACTTAGAGTGTAGTTGATTTCTGTAAATATGGTTTGTTTTTTAGTAGCTATTCTACATTGGTGTTTTGAAAGCTTGCTCTTTTTCCTGCTTCCTTTTTCACGTTTTCCCCTGAATGTCTGAAAGGATGTGAAGTTAGTAAGGCTGAGAGAACAGGGCATAACTCCATTGCCTCTTGCTAGTGCTTATGTTTTGATAGTTTACTAAAATAGGTTGGGGCTTATAGCTTTTGTGGGGGCTTGGGAGGGCTTGGGAAATTGCTTCTGGGACTTGGGTGATTGCTGATTAGGGCATTCTTTCTTTTCAGCTGCCCACAAGGAATCCAGCTTTGACATTATTTTGTCAGGTGTAGTCCCAGGAAGCACTACTCTGCACAGCGCTGAGGTTTTGGCAGAGATGGCCCGGATCCTTCGGCCTGGAGGGTGTCTTTTTCTGAAAGAACCTGTAGAGACAGCTGTAGGTAAGAGTTCACAGGGTTGAGCTGGGTGTGGTGGCACATGCTTTAAGCCCAGCCCTGGAGAGGCTGAGGCAGGAGGATCTTCACAAATTCAAGCCCCGCCTGGATTACATAGCAAGACTCTTATCTCAAAAAAGGTAACACATATCATTTGGAGATCAGTATTCTTGTAGAAGAACCTACCCCTTAAGGATATATTTTTGTTAAAATCTGAGGCAACGATCTGAAGAAATTCTGATCTTTGGTTGATGCATAAGATAATAAAATAGAAGGAAACTGCCATCTAAAAATGGCTTGGTCATCAGCAGATGAAAAGTTAAACCTGGGTATGGAAACAGTGCAACAGTAAAACAGAGCAAACTATTGTGCAGAGAAGAAAAAGCCAATTTCAAAAGGTTCTGGGCTATGTCATTGTATTCATACTCTTGAAATAAAATTATACCAAAGAAGATCATAAGAGTGGTTGGCAGGGGTTAAGTATGGGAGAGAGGTGGTGCCTGTGGCTGCAACAGGATAGAATTTCACTTTCCTTGTTTGCATATTTTGAGCGATGTTAGTATGGGGGAGATCAGGTAAAGGGTCAACAGACCTCTCTGAACTTGTCTGTGTGTCTGTGCATGTGTATGAATCTGTAGTTCCTGGGAATCTATAGTTACTTCCAAATAGGCTTTTAGGCAGTGTCTCCCTTTATAGTTCAGGCTGACCCTGAACTCACTATGTAGCCCAGGCTAGCCTTGAACTCTCAGCAGTCCTCCTGCCTCAGCCTCCCAAGTGCTGGGATTACAGGCCTGTGCTGCCACGCCTGGCTCAAAATAAAGAGTTTTAAAATAATGCTTGGAAGAGTGATGAAGTAGTTACTGTTTGAAAATAATGACAGTGTTCAAGAATTAATAATCTTTGGCTCATTGATGTGCCTATCAGAAAGTCATTCAGGACACTTGCAGTCAAAATATGATGTTATTTCATTAAAATAATAGAAATGCAAAAGTATTTTGAAATGTGTAAAAATATTCATTATTTGTGTGGCACTATAAACTTGTAAAGTGTTTAGAAACCTCGATATTCTTCGCTGGAAATTTAGACCTTGGGTGACCAAATACAGTGTGTCTTTGGCAACTTTACAGAAAGAATATTGGTCCTTCTGCATTTTGCAGTTTGTAATATTCATTATCCAGCATCCTTTAGAAGGGGTTTCCATGAAGCAGAGAGTGATAAGAAACATAATAGTGGAATTATAATATTTTGAGTGTTGGTACAAGCGCTTTGAACAACCAAAAGGATTTTTCAAATTCAGATGCTGTTACCAAACTATATATACCTTAGATAGAGAAGTTATTATTCGAGTATCTACTGACCCATAGAGGATAGAGTCTTAATTATTCTTTCTGCTTTGACCTATAAAGCTATTATTGATTGGGGTTTTCCTCTTGGCAGCTAACAATAGCAAGGTGAAGACCGCATCTAAATTGTGCTCAGCCCTGACTCTTTCTGGTCTTGTGGAAGTGAAAGAGGTAGGTATGTGTGTAGACAGCCCTTTTAGCTGGGTTAAACCTTGGGTAACAAATCCCGAGTCTACTTGTGAGAACAGTCAAGGGCCGGCAAGGCAGTGTTGCGGAGAACTAGGAAACAAGCCCATACTTGGTGTACAAGGGATGTCTGTGAGGTCTTCAGGGAGCAGATCTCCTTTGGAGACACTCGGCCAGGCCCTGGGGTTGACTTCAGCAGGGCAGGGACAAGAACTCTTTCAGCCCTTTCAGCCCCATCTCAGTAGACACAAATCCGAGGCCCACTGAATCACCGCCATCTAGACCAGCCTCCCACTTCTGTTGGGAGTGTGGGGTAAGTTGGGAGGAAATCACATCTCTGACAGTCCATTGGAGACATTTGAATTAAACACAAGTGTGTTCATGTTTTCAGTTATCTTGGGTATGGAAAAAGTATGTACTATCCCAGGATAATTGTTTTATCTCTTCTTGTTTTTTGTTTTTTTGTGCCGGAGATTGAACTTGGGTCCTTGCACTTGCAAAGCAGGCTGTGGAACCATTGAGCTAAATCCCTGACCCCTGTTTTATTTCTTCTTATATGATCTAGTTAGTGCCTTGCTTTAGATTCTTTATACCCACTGTTTCTTTTCCTTTAGAGCTATCTGTGTTTGGTTCTAAAATAAGGAATGCTTGTAAAATTCAGCTTATACTGAAGAATATAAAATATAAAGTAATCTAGTCTTTTCTTGCACTTATTTTCCTAGAGGAAGTCAATATTGCATTTTTGCATTTCTGTTCAGACTATTTCCTCTGTATTTGCCATCATACATATCCACATACTTTTAAAAATGTAAATTCATATGTATACATTGTTCAATTACTAGCTTTTTTCCCATCCTTAGACATCTTAGACACTTACCAATTTCAGTATGTTTTCCTGCCCTCATTTTTATTAATAATGTAAGGGTTTTGCATGTTGCAGGAGGACTATTTGATTTACTTAAAATTCTTATAAACCCAGCACTTGGGAGCCTGAGGCAGGAGGTTCACCCCAAGTTTGAGGCCAGCCTAGGCTACATAGTGAGTTCAAGGTCAGCCTGAATTACATAATAAGACCCTGTCTCAATAAAGTTTTTAAAAAAATTCAATACCTGTTGGCCATGGAGTTGGTACCCTGACCCCCTTTTTCCCCCTGCCTTCACTATCTGTAACTTCTCAGGAAACCTTTCCTTTAGATTAAAGAGTTTTGCTGTCTTCGTTGTGACCATGCTTCTGTTACACAATGGGACCATGTCTGACTCATCTCTATAACCGTAATCATTAAGCCCCTACAATGATTAGGTGTCTTATACGTAGTATTTCATAAATACTTTAAAACTTTCCAAGGGGTAAATTGAAAGATAACATGCTGATAGAATTAGGGTTCTAATCAGTGAGAAACTGAATGTGAATTATGCTATTCTGCTATCTCTGCTGTCATATATTTAGTCACAGAAATGTGTGCTTAACTCTGTGCGGGTGGACATTTGTTAGGTGTGTGATCCCTTTAACGTCTTGAATTCCAGCTGCAGAGGGAGCCCTTGAGTCCCGAGGAGATGAAGTCTGTCCGGGAGCATCTGGGTTACAGTAGTGACAGTCTGCTATCAATTCAGATCACAGGCAAAAAGCCCAACTTTGAAGTGGGTTCTTCTAGTCAGCTCAAACTTTCCATGACCAAGAAGGCGTCTCCTTCAGGTAAGGCTGGCCTGCATATACTTCTGTGTGAATGGGCCTGGAAGGACATGCTGGAAACTTGCTACCGACCGTAGGGCAGCAAACACGGGATTTCACGAGGAGATACAGGTTCTCTGAAAGGTGGGAGCAGGTTCGGCAATGACAGTCAGACAAAAGCACTCAACACCGAGGTGAAGTTTGCAAATGCTGCTGCAATTTTATTTCTAACTCTAGGTGTTTATATACTAGTTTCAAGGGCACACCTCAAGAGTGATTCCAGTCACAGGCAGGCATGAGAAAGATAGACAATAGTACTGTAAAAACTAAGACCACAAGGTCAAGGTAAGACCACACCTATATACCATCACAAAAGCTAAGACCATTAAGTCAAGGTAAGACCACACCTATATGCAGTCAGAAGGGGAAGTTTGTAAATCAAAGGACTGGCTTCAGCATGTCACCTTCAGGATCACCTTCAGGACTTCACAGTCCGGGGCTCAGGGTCAGCACTTTGGCCGCCCGTCCTCTTGTGCCTCAATACCTCCCCATCTCTAGGAACATCTAATTGTTCCTAACCTTTCCTGGGCCCAGAATACAATTCTACAGATAATGAACAAATAGTAATAAAGACAAAATAGAACAGAATTATAGATGAACCCAATGTCCCCAAACTGCAGGCAGAGAGGCCAGCTATTCTCTTCACGGCTGACTTCGCATGCGGTGTGTGCCAAGGACTTCCAGGAGGCTTAACCCCGTGGGGACGATACCTCTGGTCTGGTTTCTGCCAGGTGACCGGCATTGTCACGCAGACTCCACTGGAGTGGTCGTGGCAGAAACTGAGTCAGCAGTCCAAGTATTTTTAAAAGGATTAGTCCTTTAATTTCTGTCATTTCCAAGTTGCAGAATACATAATGTGCTTTTATCCCAGGCATGTTAGGATCCATCACAGAGTGATGCGTAAATATTATTTAGTGCAGCCCCTTCTGACCAGAGGCCTCCTTACTCTGGAGGCCAGAGTCGTTTATTTAGGTAATGACATTTTTCCAGGCCCCAGAGGTACAGCAGTCACCCTCAGAGCACCTCAGTACTGGCGGTGGTAGATAAGGTTTCCTGTTCCTGTTGCAGCCCCCCCGCCAAACCATACTGGGATTAAACCCTGGGCCTTACGGATACTAGGCAAGTGGTCTACCACTGTAGCTATGCCTCAAAGTCCTTTTTATTTTATTTTGAGACAAGGTCATTAGGTTACCTAGGCTAACCTCAAACTTGAGATCATCCTGCTTAAGCCTCTGAAGTAGCTGGGATTACAGGTATGCACCACCACACTGAGCCCACAGGGCTCTCCTACACCAATAAAGTCAGCTTTTCTTACTTTGTGGGTCCTGTTATGCTTACACATCTTTATTCCACCCAGAAAGTTCGCTGCATGCATGTGTGTACACATACTTTACCACTTCACCCTTCCTGTCACTGTTTTCAATGCCTGAATTACTGTCCCAGCTGAGTGGAGTGCAGAACTTTACAGATATTTGCTGGCATATCTACACTTCACCCTTTTTACTGACCAACCTAAGTCTTCAAGACTCTTTAGAATCTAACCTTTAGTTCACGGTTCCAGAATAGGTAAGAGCAGCTTAGATGAGTAGCTGGCCTGGTGGAAATTCTGAAATCCAGCTGTGATAGTGATGACTGAGGTTGCTTACCTTGGACCTTTCTGAGCACTCCCAGGTCTCTACTTTCTCAGGCCCTTTGCATTCTCCTGACCCAGACAATCAGGAGGTAGGAAGCTTGTGCCTGCTACTCTTTGTGTGACCTTGCCACCAGCAGCTCCAGTGCCTTGTTTCTCATATAACAGGTTTAGGGGAGGCTAAAAATTTGTCACTTAATGAAGTCTTTGACAGATTACTCATTTAATCCTCAGTATCTGTAGTAGGTAGATGGATTGCTATTCAGCTCCATGGTATAGGGGTGGAAGCTAAGACAACAGAAAGCAGCACAGAAGTGAAGACTTCCTTCGTGTGTTAAAGCGATCAGCTTAGAGTCCTGTTGATAAGATGTGGAGCTGTGCCAGGCCTCTGAGCCCTCTCCAGCTGTTCTGCACAGGCTCTGGAAAGCACTTCTGTGATGTTGCTTATAGTCTGTTTCGAGCTGGTTTTATGGAGTTTTTTTTCTTTTTTGGTTGGACTCAGTGAAGCCTGCTGTGGACCCTACTGCCGCTAAGCTCTGGACCCTCTCAGCCAATGACATGGAGGATGACAGCATGGTGAGTTGGCACTGTGGTCATTGACTGCTGCTTCCAGGCCCTGCCTTATGTGCCCCAGCCATAGGTCAGAATGACCTTTCTGGAATTCCATGTGTGGATGAGTTTGAAGCCTTAGCATTGCATCTGTGGCTTAGAAGGACACTGCACCTTGGTGCATTTTCGATTTATTTGTTAGCATCTTTTCCCCATAGATTTTCTGGTCCTCCCTTTATGTGAGATGTCAGAAATCCTTATGGATGTTTGTAAACCAAAAAAGAGTTTGTCCACTGGACTGTTTTTATTGGCCCCCTTGTCTGGACAAGTCCCTGGGTGCTCACAGTAATAAAAGCAGCCCTTTCCATCTTTGGTCAGCGCTGTGTATAATCAAGTCCTTTGTTTCCACTCCACTACTGAGGTGAGAATGGTGAAGAAAGTAGGTCACAAAGAATTACACAAATAAGTATTTGCCCTTTTCTCTGGAATTATGTAGAAAATATTTTACTCCGTTTTCCATGTGACTTCATATATTCAAGTAAATGTAGCCCTCCACTTCTCTCTCCCCCATCCCTCCGTCCTCCCTCTCCCCACTCCATGTTGCGAACCTTATAGCTGTTTCTCCTGTAAGTTAGCTCCCAGTTCTTTCATTCCATAGTGCATTTTCCCTTGAGCATGCAGTAGGGTTGAGTGTAGTGGTTGGTCCAACGTAGGGCAGAGATGATGCCTTCTTTGCCCTAAATCTTGACAGTTTGCTTGCATCAGCATTGGTGACTAATTTAGTTTTCATTAGATCTCAACTGTGTCGCTAATTGCTTTGAATACTCTGCAGGATCTCATTGATTCAGATGAGCTGCTGGATCCAGAAGATTTGAAAAAGCCTGATCCTGCTTCCCTGCGGGCTACTTCCTGTGGAGAGGGGAAAAAGAGGAAGGCCTGCAAGAACTGGTGAGTGCTGCTGCTTGCGGCTGGAGTCTTGAGTCCTCGCTGCTTGACTGTATTACAGCATGTTTTATTGTGAGAGTGTCGTGTGGAGAGGAGTCAATTAAACATGTACATTTCAAAGAATGACAGGCACCCACATACCGATTGCCCAGACTAAGGGACACAAACATTGCTAGTACCTTACATACGTGTCATCTGTGCATGCTACCTAAGCTGCATCTTGCTCCTCCCCAAAAAGGTTACTTTTCCAAGCCTGTGTTCATCATTCATGGGTTTTTGATAGTTGACCATCTCTGTGAATCTGCAAACAGTGTGTTAGCGTGAGTCCGAGCCCACACCCAACTCTGTAAGTATTCCCACATTACATGAGGGCTCCCAGGGGAAGGAAAGCTGACCAGGATCTTTGGTTTGCTTTGGTCTCAGCCTCTTTGAGAGTGGACAAGAGGCCCTCAGGGAAGTTAATGGGAAGAGTGCTGGGTGAGTCAGAGGGCACAGTATATGCAGATGGAGCAGCAGGCAGGGTTTGTAGAGGTGCAGTGACCGAAAGGGCGGCTGGAGTGTGGTCAGGGAAGGGCTGTTCTAGGCCTGCCATAGTCCAGGCTGTGCTGACAGGAGTAGAACAGAACAGGAGCAACTGTCCTCAGCAGGTCCAGCTTCTGAGTGTGGACTGGAAAGTTGGACGTTTTCAGCACACGGTTGAGGTGAGCCGAGGACAGAAACAGGCTGACTTGCCTGGCCTTGGGTGACATGATGGTATGGTGCCAGCAGGGTCGCGGTGATGCAGCCTTCGGGGTGTCTGTCTCATGTGACTGTGTCACAGAGTTGATGTGCTGGCATCTTCACTGCTCCCTGCAGAGTCCCTCCCCTCTGTGTTAGCTTTTATCTGCTGTGTTCCATAGTGCCTTCTCCTGGGTTTCTCTATGGTGCTGGTGGAGCATATTCTCTAGTGGTTCTTAAGAAAAGCTACCTGGAAGGTAAATGTTGGGTTTTGGTTTGTTGTTTTGCTTTTTCAATTTTTTTAGATGCACTGTGCACACACTCGTGAGTGTGTATGTGTGTGAAAATCCTGTGTTCTACTCAAATGCTTGGTGACTAAGGTTTTAAAATCTTGGTTAAAAATAATTTTTTATGATTTGGAGGTAGTTCTGTTGTTTTCTTCTCATTCTGACATCTGAAGTCAGACAGGTATCTTTGATCCTTTTCTATTAGAGCATCTTGATCCTTTCCATAAAACTTCTTTCTCTATTTCAGAAATTTGTAGAATCTTCTTTATTTCTGTTACATTTTGTGATAGCATTTCTTGAATGAGGATTTGTTTTCTTTTTCTTTTTTGGGGGGGGTACTGGGGATTGAACCTCAGGACTTTGCACTTGCAAGGTAGACAGTGGCACTGAGCTAAATCCCTGGTCCTTGTTTTCATATTTTGCACGAACCACTTAGGGCATCTTTTTCTGTAAAAAGCCATGTCTGTGGTCTTGGGACATTTTTTAGAAATTTTGTTTAACCAGGTATGTTGGTGCACACCTAGAATCCCAGAATTTGGGAGTCTGAGGCAGGAGGTTTGTCACAAATTTGAAGCAGCCTGGGCTACATAGTGAGTTCAAGGCCAGCCTGGATTACACAGCAAGACCTCTCCAAAAAAAATATTGTTTATGAATTTCATCCCCCCCCCTTTTTTGTAGCAGGGATCACACTTGAGGCAGGTGGCAGCACCATTGAGCTAAACCCCAAACCCTTCTCTTTGTTTTTTCTGAGTAACCTGTGACTCGGATTTGGACTCTTTGGTCCTGTAATTTTCTTTTCTCTCACATTTGCCATATACCCCTTTCAGGGACATTTCTTCATTTATCCTCCAAAACTTCTAGTGTTATTTTATTCCTACTATTCTATTTTTATTTCTAAGTTTACTGTTTTTGTCCTTGACTCTTTTTAAATTATCCATCTTGATTTTATTTCATGAGCATGATCTGTTTTCTTTTGAGAATGCTGGTAGTTCTAAGGTTTTTCCTCCTTGGATAGTTTCTGGTTCTTTTTGTTTTGTCTTTTGAGACAGGGTCTTACTATATAGTTCAGGCTGGCCCTGAACTCACTATGTAGCCCAGCCTGGCTTCAAACTTTGGGTGGTCCTCCTGCCTTAGTCTCTTAAGCATTGAGATTATATGTGTGTGCCACCACACCGAGCTTTCTGTTTCTTTTAAATTGTCTCTTTTGGGGGGCCAGGGACTTAGCTCAGAGGTACCTCACCTGCCTTGCAAGTACAAGGTCCTGAGTTTAATCCCTGGTACCCCCCCCAAAAAAAAATCGTCGTTCTTTGGGCCAGGGATTTAGCTCAGTGGTGCCACTGCCTGCCTTGCAAGCTCAAGGTCCCGAGTTTGATTCCCCGTTACCACCCTACCCCCCAAATTGTCTTTTGTTTGTTTGGTCCCTAACTTACCTTTCTTGAGATGCCTGGTGACCCTCAGTTCTTCACGATTAAGAGTGTAGGACAAGCCGGGCATGTTGTTTTTGCCTGTCCCAAGGTATCTGACTTGTTGCTTTAGGAAAAGAGAAGTCTTAGAGCACATTTTGGCCCTGTTGTGGATTTGGGATTTCTGGGTAGTGGCAAATCTCCTTTAGCAGTAACTGGTTTCCCCCAGCACCTGTGGCCTTGCAGAAGAACTAGAGAAGGAGAAGTCAGAAGCACAGAAGAGTTCGCAGCCCAAGTCGGCCTGTGGAAATGTAAGTATCTGGACCTTACAGCTGTGATTCCCCTGTGGTGGGGGACATCATCCCAAAATAAGACTTGCTCACTTCTCAGAGTGCACCGTGCACAGGGTGCAAGCAGTCCTTTCTTCCTTTTGGTCCCTTTGTTTGTACCTCAGAGTGGGGCCGGAAGTTACTCCGTCATTTGGCTGAGCTTGGCTATGATTTGAAACACTTGGAAAAGAGACACATGGCCCCCTAAGGAACTTTTCTTGACTACTTTTATGAAGGTAGAGATCTTGAAAACTTCTAGTGTTTGGGTCCTACTGGACCTATGAATGCATCCAGACATTCCTCCTGGCCCGGGTCTTGGGTATCCACATGTGATTCCTGTTCTTTCTCCATAGTGCTACCTGGGTGACGCATTCCGCTGTGCCAGCTGCCCCTACCTAGGTATGCCAGCCTTCAAGCCCGGGGAGAAGGTGCTGCTGAGCAATAGCAACCTGCATGATGCCTAGGAGGCCCCTGCGGCCCTGTCTACTCCTCCAAAGCTTCTCCTGACCCTCTCCTCCTGCCTCCTCGGGACTAGGACTCACTCACTCTCTGTTGGGAATCTCTGAAATCATTTTTGGAGAGTACACTTGTAGACAGCGGGAGGCTGGCTGTGATGCAGTGGTGTTAGTGCTGCTGTCTCCTGAAAGACCAAGGCACAGTGGGGCCTGGCTCCCAGCAGCAGGCCCTGCCTCCTCACTGAGTGTTAGGTCCTCATGATAAAGCACTGACCATGCTCTCTTGAGCCCAGACATCTGCAGTATTTATGCTCTGAAGCTCGGTGACACCGCCACCTACTTGTCCTTCTGAGTTGGTGGGGCATTCGGTATACACTCTTGGTGACTTGAGTCAACCGTCCCATGACCTCAGGGCGCCAGAGGAGTCACTTGCTGGTAACTGTGATCCCATCCTGTGTCCCTCTGTCCCATTCCACCCCTGTCTGTGTCTGTTGTCATTTCTGTGTTACATATTCACAAAGAGGTGTGTAGGTGCATGTGGTGTCCATGCATCATCCGTGCTCTGCCTGGGCTGGGAAACTTTTTGGAGGAACTTGGTGGCCCGCACAGTGAGGCCAGCGCCGTACTTGAGATTAGCACCTCTTCTTAGGGGAGTCCAGGTTGGGAAGAAGCAGGGAAGACTGAACCAACAGCACTCTTGCTGTGTTCTTGCTGTGCAACCCACAGACCCAGAACCAATCTTGCCAAATACTTGGCAAGATTGTGTGGGTTTAAGAGACCTGGATTTTTGTTTCACCAATAAATAAGTGTTAATTGGTATCTGTCTGCAAAGCTTGGTTTGATTCTCCTGACTTGCTTTTCCTTCTGGTCCCTGCTGTAGTTATGACTGTGGCTGAAGCTGGGCTCCCAAGCTGGAGGGAAGGCATTGTGCCAAGACGGCCTCCAGTGACCCGCACCCTTGTGTAACCGCTGAGCAAGACCTGTGAGGCCATGGGATCTCCCTCCTGGGATTAGAGGAGGTTCTGTGGTAAAAGCCAAGGAATTTTGCAAATATAGTTAAAGTCCCTGCTGACTTAAATCGATTAAAAGGGAGATTATCCTGAGTGAGCAGGACACAGTCAGGTGATCCTTAAAAAGAACTAGAGAACAAGGCTCACTGATGGTATGGAAGTTGCCAAGTTGTGAGAGGTCCAAGCAAGGACATGATCCCAACAGACACTGAGGCAGTGGGGCCCTCAGTCCCACCTCAAGGAGCTCAGTCCCGCCAACACCACAGGGCTTGAATGAGGACCTCAAGTCTCCATGAGAAGGTTGGTGCAGCTGTGGAGGCCCAGGCGGAGGCTGGACCCACAGAAACCAACGTAATAAGCAGATGTCTGAAGCAGCTAAGTGGCTGGTGACTTATTACGTGGCAACAGAAACTAACAGCCCAGAAGGCTTATCGATCGCGTGTGTACTGAGCCAGCAGGCCCGTGTTGGTAGGTCTGCTGCAGTTGCCAATATCCCGAGCCAGAGCTTTTCAGGACGAGCTCAGCATAGGCCCCTGTCCTTGGCTGCCCTGCCTGGTTTCTGAGTCCCAGCCACTGCAGGCATGGGATGAAGCTCTGGGTGGCATGGCTGATGGGATCGTGTTACAGCTGCTGTGTCATCCCATGGGGACAGGGCTGGAGGATGGGAGAGGCCTTGTTAGTCAGCTGTGCACATCTGGGCCTCAGGGCCCAGGTCCACACCTTGAGGGGACTTGGGAAGGGACAGCTGTCCCTTGTGTTTGTGACTCTGCAGGGTGGCATTTCTGAGGGGAGAGGTTTTATTTTGGAAGATCACAACCTTGGAGCCCAAAACAGTCAAGAGTATCCCTGAATACAACTGCAATTTATAATTAAGGAAGGGCCAGGAATTTAGCTCAGTGGTTCCAGCGCCTGCCTCACAAGTGCAAGGGCCTGAGTTTGATCCCTGGTACCGGAAAAAAATATATATGTAATTAAGGAAACACTGAGAGCTGGAGAGTGACCCGCAGCCGTCAGCAGAGTACTTTGTTATACAGATGCCTGGGGCTGGGGACCAAGCTCACTCAAAGAATGGATCCTCGGTACCACTAAAACCAAAAGGCATGGAAAGTACAGATGCCTGATGTCACCTGTGGACATTCTGGATCAGTGGATCTGAGAGGACTGGGGATCTTAACTGATTTAGAAACTAAGGTCTTTTACTTAGAACCTGGAAGTGTACATTTGGGATTCCCCCCGCCCACTTTCTGTTTGTGTTTTAAAACTGTCTTGCCGTGGACTTCAGGCTGACCTTACTTACATTCAGTCCTTCTGATTCGGCCTCCCAAGTGCTGGGATCACTGGTATGCATCAGGTGGCTGGTTCTGCCCCCTCCTGAAGTCACTTAAAAGCTCCAAATGCAGTGGGCAACAGAGAAACCTTACCTTGGCGTTAGGTGGCAGCCAAAGCTTTGGAGGTGTGAAATGCAGGTGCCCAGGAGCAGAGCCCACACGGCTGGGGAAGAAGGGAGGACGAGTGTGCTGCTGACTGCTCTGGGCCAAGCGCCTCCTTGAGTGGCAGAGTGACCCCAGTGCTGGCAGTGACCTCCAGCCAGGCAGAAGAGAAAACACACCAGAAGAGGCACTGCCTTGTGAAGGGGAGAACAATTGTCAAAACTGGAAACGCGCCCATGACCCCTTGTGTTAAAATGCACTTGTGGGATTTGGCCAGGTGGGTGATTCCCAGAGGGCCTTGGACCTGGTTCTTAGTGTAGGGTGATTCAGGGCAGAGGAAATATTGGCTTGGTGTGAAGAGTTCCACAAAGGAGAGGGTTAGGGGTCTGGATTCAGGATTGGCTTATAATAAAATTTTTTTGGGAGGGCTGGCTCAAGACAGGGTCTCCCTATATAGTTTAGGTTGGCCCTGAACTCACCAGGCTGGCCTTGAACTCAGTGATCCTCCTGCCTCAGCCTCTTGAGTATTGGGATTACAGGCATGTGTCACCGTGCCTGGCAGAATTTTTTTCCCTTGCTTTGTTGCCCAGACTGGTCTCAAACTCCTAGGCTCATATGACCCTCCTGTCTTGGCCTTCTGAGTGAGTAGCTGAGGTTCCAGGTATGTATATAAAGCCTTTGCTTTTATAATACAGTTTTGAACAGCCACAAAAACTGGATCACAGAAGCGTTAACAACTTCGGCTGTTGACCTGTGATGAATGGATGCCACATGGACAAGTACAGACTCAGAAAACCCAGGCTACCCTGCTTGGTACTCCAAACAGGGCCAAAGTTGCTCCTGGAATCTGTGTCCTGTAACTCCAGAAGCGTTCATTCCTTTTTTTTTTTTTTTAACCCAGCTACCCCCAGGGAGTATACTTGGTGGTTTCCTAGCCTCTGCTCCCCCAGAAGAGCTAGATAGCTGCCCTACAGCTACCATCAGCTTTTCCCCTCAGGACAGCACCAAGGCCAACCTGGGCCTCACCAACCTCAGAAAAAAATCCGCTTTAAACCTCAGAATTTTATTACATAGCGCCCTCTGGTGGGCCATTGGGGAAGGACCCGATTTAATTTCCTCCTGTTAGGGTGTGTGAACCTGAAGCCCAGCTGTAATGGCATCTTGGGACATTTCTTTCCCCACTAGTGCCCCTGTGGAATTCACCTGTGAAATGTGTAAATTAAACATCCACTGTGCATACTCCCTCCCTGGGAGTATCTATAACCAGCTCTGAGTTACCTGACCAGAATACCCGTGCCATTGAGCTCCTTAGATGAATCCAGCGGTTAGGAGGGGGACAGCATGTGGCTAATGTCAGGCAGGTGACAACGGGGAGCTCTGGCGATTGATGGTTAGGTGCAACCAAGGAGACCAGGGAGAAAGTGAGCTCCAAATGGGAATTGGATTTCAGAAGTGGAGGAAGGGGGTGTCCTCCAGGTGGAGAGCAGTGTATGGCTGGCACCCCTTTTCCGTCCCTGCCTGTTCCTCTTCTTTTCCCTTTCCCCAAGTGTGAGGGTCTCATTCTCCAGGGGAACATGGTAGCATCTCACCCCACCCACTTGGTGACCTGACAGTGTTACAACACTTGGCTTCCAAATGCTTCATTCTGCAACCTGTCCTGGCTCCATCTGTCCCTGCCCAGTGGCCTGGAACCACCCCCTGCCCTCTCGCTTTTAGGGGCCTCCCCACAAGTCCCCAGCACCTCTCTTCATTGGAGTTTACCCTATGGATTTGGAGGGGGGACTCTTGCTTTTTCTTCAGTACTAGAAATTGAACCCAGGTCCTCAGCACATGCCAGGCCCAGAGCTACCAGTCTCCACAAAGGGCTTTCTTCTTTTAGGAAAACTGCAAGTGCAGTTAAGCATTCTGAGTCCTCCAGGCCTTGGTTGCAGGGTGCAGCCCCCAAGCCCCGGCCCTTACTGTCCCTTGCTACCTTAGGGGATAGCCTGCTTACCTCCCTCCTGTTTTGTTTATTTATTTACTTGGGGTTTATTTGGAGACAGGGTCTTGCTGTGTAGTTCAGACTGTCCTTGAGCTTGTTATGTAGCCCAGGCTGGCCTCAAACTCGTGGTCCCTCACATCTTAGATTCTCCTCCCACCTGGTGGACTCAGGGCCATATTCTTCAAGGCCTTCGGACAGGCTGCCCTAGGACTCTCTGTGAGGCAGTTGTTTGAGGGTTTCCCTTCGGTGACAGGGTAGGAAGAGTGTCCACCTGTGCCGGGGAGAACCCAGGGTTGGAGGAGCCATCCCATCACCCGTGTCAGCCTCTATTGTTAACTAGTTTTTGTTTTCTGCCTTTACTGGATAGCGGACGTGGGTTGCATCTGCCCTTCCGTGAGAGGATGGCCACAAGAGGGCAGCAGGAGGTAAACACCTTGCTTGTAAATGACTCCAGACTGTAGCCTTGCCAAACAGTGCAGGGCTCAGAGAACGGTAGGAGAAGCGACCAGTGCCTCTGCTCCACACTGTCCTAAGAGAAGCTGTCCAGTGCGTGAGGTAACCCTGGAATGCAAAGATCCCTGACTCTCCTGCTGCTTCCTGTGGCTCCAGTCCTGAGCTGGGGCCTAGGCAGAGGCTCTAGTCTCCATCCTTAAGAGCATGAGATCCGATCCAGAGCAGCTCACAGAGCTCCCAGTGTAATGCCGGAGCTGGGCCTGACAGGCACAGCCAGGCATCGCTGGGATAGCGACTTGCACCAGGGACAGGAGGAAACCCGAGGGGGTTATGGGAGTGGGTGGCAGCTGGGCTCAGGCTGGTGAGGCCGGGTGGGTGGGACGGGTGAGAGGAGCCATAGGGTCACGTGGGACAGCCTGCAAGGAGCAGAGGGAGGGGAAGAGGTAAAGGGGGAGGTGAACCCAGAGCAGAGGAGTTTCGGTTGGAGTTGTTGCAGTTTGAGCTGGGAGAGGGGGCCCCAGAGATTATCTGGGGTCAGGTGGACTGCAGTGAGTACTGAGGGACTAGGGAGTTGGGGAGATGGGGCTGGTGCTGTAGGACGCCTCCCCCAGCCCACTTCCGGCCAGGAAACTGCCCAGCACTTGAATGGTCCTGGGAACGCTTGTACAGTTGAATCCAAAGTGTAAAGGGAACTGTGCTCCCAGTTCTGCATCAGGAAAGAATAGGGGCTGATCTAGGGGGTAACTCTGGGACAGAGAAGACCCAGGGGTCCACCAGGAGTGGGTCAGCCTAGGTGCTGCTGAGCCTCTGTCCACCCTGCCCTGCTCAGCCCTACCCTCCCACCAGGTCCTCCCTCACTGCTGCATGGTCTGCAGCAGCCACGTCCTTCTGCCAGCTTCGATTTCCCTTCTGACCTGAACAGGCCAGGACCAGATGCTCTCTGAGGACCCTTACAGTGTGACAGCCCAGAGGAGACGGTGTCCGGCCCTGTAGGGACAGAACACACTGACCCAGAGGGAGGGGGAAACGTTGTTTAATTTGGGCTCATCTGTGCCTCTGGCTTTAGTTCAGGAAGGGGATGGGTCTCCCTTGCTGTGGCTCCTCAGGCAGTTCAGGGCTGGGGTCCTGAGCACTGAGGCCAGAAATCTCTGAATGGTTCAGGGAGAAAATCAGTCCTAGGTGGTGGCAATGCTGTGTTACTTCTTGAGGCGCTGCAAATGTCTAATTGCCTTCTTCACATGCCGGTCCTCAGGGTCTGAACAGACAAGCCTGCCCCTGGCGGTCACAAAGCTGATTGGAGGGAAGCCATGAGGGTATCTGAGTTAGGAAAGGGCCTTCCAGGGCCAGGCCAGGCTGCTGTGTGCTGACCATGACCTCAAGAACCCAAGAGGTGAGAACTTGCCTGAAGCCACAGTAGCCATCAACAGCAGCCCTGGGACATCAGGCTGCTGTGGCTCAGTGAAAGTGACACTCCCAAGGCCCTACCTGGGTGCAGCTGTGAGGGCCCAGGGCTGCCAACCTTGTGCCCACCCTATCCCACCTAGAGCCTGGAGAGAGGGTGTGGGAGCTGTCCTCCACCTCACTCTGGCCCAGGAAGGAGAAGTGACCGCATGGTCACTGGCTGGGTACATGACCTGGGGTGTCCCCTCTCTCCCAGTGCCTCAGTTCACCATAAATCAACAGAGAGGTTGGACCTCATGACCCACAGCCCCTTGGGTGCTCCAGTGTGGGCTGCAGGAGCTGTCCTGGAGGCCAGGCTGGTGGTCAGGGGAGGAAGGGACTCCTCTTGCCCTCTATCCCCAGCGGCTGTCCCGGGAGCTCAGGGCCCCAGGGGTAGGGGTGCAGTAGTGGGGGACTTACATGACAGCGTCCTTGGGACACTCGGGTGAGGTTTTGTACCAGTGCACCAGCTTTTTGGTGGGAATGGCTCCCTTGAAGTACTCCAGGCAGCACTCCCGCCCCACGTTGGTGGCTCGAGCTACAGAGAGAGCAGGAGCAGGTGTCTCAGGGTTTGCGGGGAGGGTGTATGTGGGGTGTGTGTGTGTGTCTGTGTGTATCTGTGTGTGGTGACTGCACAGGTGTGTGTCCCTTTGTCTCTCTCTGCCTGTGTTCTTGGGGTGGATCCATGTGCGAGTGTCTGGGGTGGGCAATTTTGTGTCTCTGTGTTAACGTGTGTATGTGTGTGTGTGAGAGAGGCCTCTGTGAGGTCCTGTGTGTGTGTGCACTTACCTGTGTGTGCATCTATAACCAGCAACCTTATTTCAGCTTTCCCTTCCCAACTGAATATAAAAGCCTCTTTTTTTCACATGTTCTTAAAGCCAATCCTCCTGTCTTTATGCTGCTTCCCTCATTGTACATCAAAACCCATTAATAAAACAGATGAGAACATAACTGTGAGAATTATTCGTTCTGTGCTGCAAACCCAGTCAAGGTCACTGCCTCCTGACATTGCAGCCCCAGAAGCGCTGCGCACTCTCCTGCCCACAGCCTGTCCCCAAGGGCAGGGGCCCAGCATCTTCACCATCGTCTTCCTCTGGCCACTTCCCTCCAAATGTTCTGCTGCCAGCCCCTGGGGTCCTCCATGGGCACAGACAGGGCCCACACCTGGCCCCTGTGCCCAGCTCTCACCTGCACGGCCGAGCTGCAGAGAGGCGCCCAGGAGCAGGGCGGCCAAGAGCAGCATCTTCAGGGACGTCATGGCGCCAGAGCCGGAGCGTCTCCGTGAGTTCCCTCTGCTTGACAGATGAGCATGACAGCGAGGTTGGAGGCGACTTATTTAACCTCTTCAGGCTCATGCGCCACCTGTTGCCTCCCACACCCTTCCTACATCAGGGTGATTCACAAAATTTTAGATGATTTGGTAGAAGTCCAGTCTTGGAATGTTTGTGGCTTTCCAGAGAATGGGTACTGGGCCAAGGACATAGGTGGAGTCCATGTGTCCAGAAACACGACAGGGGCACTTCTCCTTTCCCAGGAACATTTCTTGGTTCCTCTGTCAGCAGAACCAAGAGGCCCCCATCCTGCACCAAGTTTGCCCAGCTTGGATGCTGGTGAGCGGCCTTCAGCCCCAGTGCCCTGCAAGGACGAACTGGGTGGACAAACAGCAGAGGCTGAGTGACCTGAGAGCTTTGGGGTGCTAGGAGGTTCCCCTGGGTGCTTCTCTGTGTGGAGGGCCCAGCCCTGTGGCCCTGAGAAAAGCCTGAGGTTCACTTATGGCTGCCTCTCCTTCCCCAGGCTAAGCTTTTATCACATTTATCCCACGTGTGCACGGAGCTTCCATGAGTGGGGGTCCCTGTTCCCCAGACTGGGGCCCTTGTCTCATATTCCTGCAGATGGAAGGACACGTGAGAGCTGGTGCCTCTCAGCTCTAGCAGAGATGCACAGCGGAGTCCATCCCAAACCCCTGGTCAGGTTCTTGCCAGCCCCCGGAATGCTTTCCAGGAACCCAACCTGGACAGAGCTTTGGAAAGAACCCATGTGCCAAGCATGGTGACACACACCTGTAATCCCAGCACTCAGGAAGCTGAGGCAGGAGGATTGCCACAACCTGCCTGGATTACATAGTAAGCTCAAGACCAGCCTGAACTACATAGTGAGTCCCTGTCTGAAACACTTAAATGAGAAGGAACCCCTGCCTGCCTCCGAATGTGCAGCATCCTGGCAGGGCAGCTTGAAGCCTGAAGGTGCTTGGTCTTTGATGGTGACACATGGGTCTGGGCCTGGCTCCCTCTGTTCCTGAGTGACCAGGGGTTGCTGGGAGTGACAGCCCATCCCTAAACGTGGTGTCAGTGCACTGGGCTCTCTCAGGGTCAGCTCTGCGTTAATCACTGAATCGTTGAGTTTTCATCAGTAGTGGGGACAACAAGAGCCAATGTTTGTTGAAACCCAGCTCCCAAGGGCAGGACTCCCAGTGTAACCCAGGCATATAGGAGAGGACCAGGTCCTATGAGGACAGGCCCAGTGCGCTTCATCCCCTAGCACGGCCCCTTGGGAGGCCCTGCTGCTTCAGTTCCTGGGGATGGGAGATGTCCCCTGTTCATGAGAGCAGGATCTGTGTCACTGCCTGGCTGTGTGATCAACCTCAGGCAGCTCATAAACCCTCTCTGGGCCTCAGTCTCCCCTACAGAGGGAATTCTAGATGGTTCCCAGGAGTCCAGCCAATGGTCAGTCTAGGAAAAATGGGTTCTTCTCATGGTGGTTCTCATACCTGCACTTATTTCTCTGCTTCTCTTCAGTCGTATCAGCTGCCGGAGACCCTCGCCCTGCACCTCCTCAGCCAGAGTCAGGGCGGCATCTCTAGCCCCAGCCTGTCTGGCAGGGACCTGGCTTCTGTGCCCGGGGCAGTCTTCCACCTGCACGTGGTGTGGGCATCCTGAGGGTGCGCCCTTTGGTGCATGGTCCCTGCTCCTGCACCTCAGGACCACCCTGCTGGTCCCCCACCCTGGCTGGCCTAGGGAAGGGCTGCAGGAACAGGAGGCTGGGACCTGGAGCAGGAGGCCTGGGACCTAGGAGGAGGCGGGAAGGGGGCATCGTGTCTGCTGATCTGTCCTGGGAGGTGGGCTGCCTCCTGACCTCACTGTTCCCACACCCTCTGCTGGATGCCAAGTGCCTGCTATTTTGGGGCTTCTCTACCTGCCCTGAGGCCAGTGATTATTGTTCTGGACAATGGATGGCTCTGGTGAGATTAATGACCCCCCACTTCTGGGGAACTCCCTGCCTGAGTTCTCTGTCCCCTATGTCTGCTGCCCACTCGGAACTTTTCTCCAGAAGGACCCAAATTCCCCTATCCTTCTAGGGAACTGGTTAGAACAGCAGGGACAGACGGGCCCAGCTTATAGTTCTGGGCTGGCACAGCTGTCTGGCCAGAGGGGGGACAGAGCAGTGGTGCAGCCAGGGTGGACCCTTGGGGCTGCAACAGGGGCTGGGGTGGGGTGTCCAAAGAGGCTGAGTGCAGCCTTGCTCTTGGGGAGCTCACAGGAGGGGTTTGGAACAGGCCTGAGCCTGCAAGTGGGATAAAGACCCCGGATGCAGGGTGGGGAGAGGCTGCCTGAGGTTGTCAAGGCATGGGCCTGGTAGTTAACATACCAGTCTCTAACATACCAGAGAGGCGGGGAGGGCATTGCCCAGGGGAAGGTGGGAGGAGGGAATGTAGGGAGATAGATGAGGAGAGCAGCTGGAAGTCTGATGGGGAAACAGCTTCAATGTAAGACTCAGACAGTAAGTAAGGGCTGTGAGGACAGGGCTGTCCTACTTCACCTCACACCATGGCATCCCCTGCACCCAGCACAGTGCCTGGCACCTGAGGACAGACTGTTGTGATGCTCAGCCAGTTGAATTCAGGACAGAAGGAATCAGAGGTGAGAGACTCAGGCCTGAGGTATCTCTCAGCCTTGTTTGGAACACAGCAGAGCCTGGGGATATTTGTAAGGTGGTTTCCTAATTAGGGATTAACCAGACCTAGTCCTCCTTTGTTTCCCCGGGCAATGACTTGGATTCCAAGGGACTGACCTTTGGTGAGTCCTAGAATCCAGGCACGGTAAAGAACAGGGCCTGCAGACCTTTCCAGTGCTTCAAGGTCTAGGGCCTGGAGAACCAATAGGATGATCAGGAATGCAGCCTAAGGGAGGCGGTGGCCTCAAGGAAGGCTTTGTAGAAGAGCATGGAAGCAGGTGCTCTGGCTGGAGGGAGGACAGGGCGCAGGCTGGGCCCACTGGTGTTAGGAGCAGAGCGAGGAAAGAGAATTGGGTGTGAGAGGGAGGAAGTGGCCCTAGTGGACCCTGCTACTGAAGCTGGCCAGACACTGCCTGCCAATGCCCTTCTCTGCCTGCCCCAGCCTCTGGGCTGCTGCCTCCAGGTAGACGCGTGGGGTGAGACCAGCCCTGGGTGTCAACCTCCACCCTGCTTTGGCCAGAAGGATTCTGGGTCCTTCACCCTAAGAGAAGGAGTGAACCCCTTCCTGGGGATGGGGCAGAGCCAGAGATGCTCTCAGTCACAGACCAGGCAGCAGGCAGCTGGGGTGGAAGCTCTTCGTCGCCTTTCCTTGCACTTAACAGCTGTCACAGGGCACAGCAGGGGCTACTGAGGCTCCAGCAAGTGCGGTGACTTGCCTGGGCCTCCCAGACCCTTCCAGAGGGATCCTGGTTTTGTCCTCTCAGCCGCATCCTCTAGCAGCTGAAGCTGGATGTTTCCTGCCCTGCTGGGAGTCAGGGGTCAGGGCCAGCCTGGCTGAGATGTGAGGGCCCCGGTATGGTTTCCACCTTCATCCCCAAATTTGGCTCACCCCTCCCCCGCAGTGATGTGTCCGTCATTCCTGACAGGCTATCAGTCCTCTCACTTCCTTGGGTCAGAGACCCAGGTGTCAGCCCTGCCCCAGGTTCTCCCTCTTCGGAGTCCACATTCCATCAATCGGCAAGGCCTGTGGTGATGGCCACCTTGAATCCATCTCCTCCTCACCGTCCACTCGGGTTCCCCCATCTGTGCTGCCCTGGCCTGTACTCCTTCCCAGCTTCCAGACTTCCCCAGCAGTGTGTCCCCTCTTAAGCTGGCAACACCATTCTGAGCAAGGCCTTACCCTCCCAAGATCCTTCAATGATTGGCCTCCCCACTGCCCTCAGGATGAAGCCAAATTCCTCCTACTTCTCCTGCCTCGACGGCTTCCTCCAGCCCACCACCCATGGCACCACTTGGTTTTCAGTTCCTTGAAATGTGGGCTCTTGCTGACCCCCAAAGCCAAGCTGTTCCTCTGTCTAGAGCACTTGCTTCCACCCACCACCCCACTTCCTCTCACTCTTGCCCTCTCTCGGATCCAGCATGGACCCTCACTTCCTTCCTTCAACCCCCGCCTTTCCCTGTGTCCCCAGAGGTCATTGACTCCTCCCAGTCACAGCTGTCTTCACACTATGTTGCAATTGCTGGTTTATTTGTTGTGTCTCATACAGAAAGCTGTGGAACCCTCAAAAATGAGAATGTCTTTTGTGTTGCAACTCGTCCCACTAGGACTTAGCACCCTGTAGGTGAACCATGAAATGTTTGTTGAATGGATGAAGATGCATGTAGTTGGGTGGATGGATGGATGATTGGGTGAAAGGATGATGGGATGAGTGAGGGAGTAGACACATGAATGTTGCACGGATGGGTGGATGGAGGGATGGAGGGATGGAAGGACAGGTGGGTGGGCAGACGGAAGAGGGTGGATGGATACATGCATGCATGGATGCCTGAATAGATGGATGGCCGCTTATGGATTTCTGAACTACAGCCATGGCCCAGCTTATACCCTACCCCAGGGGCTCCTTCACTTCAGAACAAATTATTTTTGATCCACTGCGTCCCACCAGTTCACCAGTCACCCTCAGATCCTTTCATCACAGATGAGGCAGAGGAATCCAACCAATGGAACTCTGACTCTTTTTTTTGGCTTTTTTTTTGTACTGGGTGTTGAACTCAAGACTGTGTGCTTGCGAGGCAGGCATGGTACCTCCGAGCTAAATCCCTGGCCTCTGACTCTTTTTTTAAAAATCTGGTATAGAACTGTCTTTAGATTGTGGTCATTTTCTGCTAAACCCAAACTGCCTCCGTGGTGGATTTTCCCCAGGCCATCTTCATGTCCCACCTTCTCAGCCACAGCTCTGTGTCCTGGCTCTTCACAGCCTCCCACCCCGGACCCCTTCCCTCCTGCTTACGACGCAGTCCATGTCTCCATTTATAAAGCCCTCTCCTCGACCTCG